GTTTCAGTTTCCTTGTTGAAGTCGGTGCTGCTTTCAGCAGACTCATCCCACCATCTGATTTCTTCGATTAGACTAGTTTCAGTTTCCTCGTCGAAGTCGGTGCTGCTTTCAGCAGACTGATTCCACCATCTGATTTCTTCCCATTTCATGGATGGACCAGCCACTTCCGCATATTCATTATTGTTATCAAGATTGTGATTGTAAGCGTTGTCATCTACATTGTTGTTGTTGATGCCATCATTGTTGTCAATGTTGACAATATTATTCATGTTGTCATTGACATTTCGGTTGGCTTCGTCCCTCTCATGGTCTATGAGTTCATCGATCACAATTAGTTCTTCGGCCGTAAACATGCACCGGCTATAAACCAAATAGACGGGGGGGTGATCCGGTATTCCATCATTGTTGACAAATTCCACCAAGCCCTGGACTCCAACATAATGTCGATCTCCTGTTGCAGTAGGAGGAAAGATGTATCCGGGGTAGTGAAGGTCAATAAGCATGACATGATTATCATTTATTCTAAAATGTGCATATACATTTACGTTTGGAAATCTGTCTCCTCTTTCCTCCATTTCAACTACTGGTCTGTACTACTACTAGATAGATAGATAGAAATAAACTTTATTCAACCCCGGGGGGAAATTAGATGACACAAATATACTACCACAACTATACAGTTTGTCTCCTAACAAAAATGTGGGCTTTGAGTGCTGAGCTATGCTGAGCTGTGCTTTGATCTGTGACGTCACAGTTTCCTTGCCTTTATGACACGTATGAGTTCTAGAACGGCATGGGTGTAGTATCTTGGATACTTCCGGTTCAATGAACCGTCACGTTGTGATGATGTCATTGATGTGCGCCAGTGAGTGTAAAATACGATACAAACAAAGATGGACGCCCACCGCGCCCTATGAAACAAACTGGTATCATTCGTTTTACTTAGACACTTAAATGTCTGTAGAAACAGAATATTACATGGTGTCAGAATAGCTTGGTTTTCACTTCGACCTGACGACGGAAGATGGAAAACACAGGCGTCCCCACGCCACGGGTGGATTGGGATTCATCTAACCTGCCCGACGCATGGAGAAAGTTTCGCCAGCATGTGGAGCTAATGTTCTCCGGCCCGCTGAGCGCTAAAGAGGAGGAAGAAAAGTGCAGCTATCTACTCCTGTGGATCGGAGAAAAGGGCAGAGATGTATATAATACATGGACCCTCACGGCAGATGAGAGGAAGGTACTCCAAATGTGCTATGCGAAGTTTGAAGCATTTGTAACGCCCAAAGCTAACCCCATTTTCGCGCGATATAAATTTGACGAAAAGATACAGAAGGATTGTGAAAATTTCGACCAGTTTGTGACTGAGCTAAAGCTGCTAGTAAAAGACTGCAACTACCCTAACGGTGATGAGATGATTAGAGACAGGATCGTTTTCGGTACAAACTCTCCAAGAGTCCGGGAAAAACTACTCTGTCACGGTCCAGATCTAACGCTCAAGAAAGCGATCGGCATTGCAGCTCACACGAGCTATCACAACAGCAGCTAAAGACTATGGGTTGCCCCGCCGCTAATACAGCTAGCCAGTCTGTTCATGCAGTTAGCAGGAAGAGAACACGGTCGCACGGAGGAATGCCCCGCAAAAGGACGTGAGTGTAACAAATGCAAAAAGCCCAACCACTTTGCTAATATGTGTAGGACAAAAACACTATCAGCCATCAAAATACAAGCCCAAGAAAGCCCATGCTGTTTCAGAAAGCACGGAACAGGCACCAGTGGATCTGTACATTGACACTATGCAATGGACCGGTGAGACTTCCACTGACCACAGCATGGAGACTTCCTGCAGCAAGTGCAACATTTTAATTAAAGTATTCTCAAATCAAGCCAGAGAGTAACGTAATGTCTAAGATGACTCGTTGACATGTCGATGTTTGAATGTTACATAAATGGTCAGAAAAGGATGTCTTCATGCATGTGTGTGTGTTTATATATCATTTATTTGTTGTAATATTATTTTGAAGTATTCACTTAGCACAGTGTTTTTTATTTGCATTATGATCAATAGAAAAGGATAACGCTGGTGATGTTACTGGTGTTTTTCTACAAATCAAATCAAATATAAACATTTAAATGTGCAACACCGCTTCAGTTGAAATTACTCAGACAGAAGAAATGATCTTGATAAAAACTCATAAAACATCTTCTCCTCAGTACTGTTACAGTGAAAATTGGACTGTTAAAAAGAGCATCTACATTTGCAATTTTCTGGTTTTATAGTTTCCCTGGAGTTGCTTAGTTTCCTTATGGCTCAGTGGCATACATACATTTGTTTGTTCTCTTTTGTCCCATTAGCTCGGCTACAGTGGAGCACTATAAAGCAGCCATGTTGCTAAGTGGTGTTGGTGATGCTCTGGGATACAGGAACAGCTCTGGGAGTACAATGAGTCGGGACCAGCTATTCATCAGGTCAGTGCAGGACCAATATGAAAGGAGGGGCTAAGGTTGTGATAAAACTAAAGCACTACTGAAGGTGGTGTTACCCTAAAATGTCTGCCCTTGACCGTTCTCTCCTTGCAGGAGCTCAAAGAGCTTGGTGGTCTGAAGAACATCAAGGCCGAGCTCCCTGACTGGCCGGTGAGCGACGACACAGTTCTGCATCTGGCAACGGCTGAAGGACTGGCCACTGGTGAGGTTAAAAGGATATTGAAACTATTTTCTCTATCCAGTTTCTGTCCCTCCGTTGCTATTTTCATTTCAAACAAGCAATTTATTGTATTTGATAATCAGTGTTCTGTTGAGCCCTCCCTGGGACACACACACCACACCCTCCTCATAACTAAAGGTCAAATCTAATTTCCAGTCTTGCCTTGATTTGCTGCTCTATTACAGCTCTGCACAAGTGAAATGAAAATGGTAGAAATTCAACTTGACCGTTGCTGTGATAAGGCAAACTGCCATTCTTGGTAGCAGGCCACTTTCATCTTTAAAAAGTTAATAAGGACAACATTTTGCAGTTTGAACAAGTTGGCTCTGCGTTGTCTCCCTCGTAGGAAAGGCGGGGGAGGAACTCATGCATGAGGTGGCTGCTCGATATGTGGAGGGTATGAAAGACATGGATGGGAGGAAACCAGGGCCTTCAAGCATTTTAGGTGACACAAAGTTAATTTTATAATCATATCTCATTTATTTGTCGTCATGGCAGAGATCGGACTTACTCTCATTTCCCCTTAAAGGAGTCTCCCAGCTGAAGCCTGGAGAGGAAGGGGGCTACAGAGTGCCCTATAATCCAGAGGGGACGGGCTGTGGAGCAGCCATGAGGTCCATGTGCATTGGTCTCAGGTAGGACGGTTGTCCCATCACGTACCCAGCACATAAGTCTCTAGTACCCATTTTTTAGGTGTTCTTGTATACGAAAAACTATCTACACCTGTGATTATTGTGGCCAAAAGAATTAACGATAAAAACATTATTGCAATATCCTGAAATATAATCATAATAATGCTGTCAGTGAAATTCATATTTCACTGACATATTTTGTTTATTGAGCGTTTTGTCTATTTCTTGGCGAATGAGTTACACTCTAAATACAATATGAGTGTAGGGAGGTGGAGAGAGAGTCTGTAACCATAACTGTTCGTATAAAATAAATTAAGAGGCCCTCGATTATTTACACAATATTATCATATGTGTATTATTAATGTCCATTTATAAATGTCTAGTGTATATATTGCAACATGTGCGACAATAGTAAAGTGCGCAGATCCCTGTCACTGTTTACAATTTTTAATAAAAATATTTTTTAATCACTTAAGTTTATTTGATTTGATCATTTTAATCAAAACTGGAGTAGACCCGTGAGAGCATTTTAGGCTTTTTCCCATGCATATTCTCTTATTATTTATATTATTGTTATTTTTGATGTGCTATTAAATTATTCAATCAATCAAAATCCTTAGAATATAAATACAATAACAGTCTTATCCTTATGCATTCCAGTTTCAATGTTCTCTCCTCTATGGTTATTATTTTTTAATTGTCAATTATATTGCGGTATTGCCTTCTCGAGCAGGTAGAGGGCAACTTGATGACTAAGCGAGGGAAAAGGAGATATGTTCAATTCATATCTTTTAAATGGCAGCTGATCCAGCAAATCTAAGCACCTCTCTGTTGTCTTTGGACTTTCATTTGTCTCCTGAAATCTGTAGGGTTTAGTTTTAGTTTGGGACATACTTGATATTTTTAGTAATATGCAAGGACATTTTATTCATGAAGCAAATTTATTAATAAGTAAACTCGATGTGTGTTACATCAAAAGGCACGTGTAAAACACCCTTCCACCCAAAAAAAGCAAAGAACCCGGATTCACCTCTCAGACACAGACACTAACTACAGTTTTATGTTTGGGGTTAGGGAGCATTACAGTTGCCCTCCTTGGTAGTTGGTAACATGAACTACATTTACTATGACATGTTTCGACATACTATACTATGTCGAAACAAGTTTCTTAAAAGAAATGGCTTGATATATAAATCCTCCCAATTATTGATTTGTTTTTAAAGTGAGAAAGAGTTACTGACATGACTTTCAAAGTTAAGGTCAGAGTCCAAAATAACTCCTGACTTACTGTCTCTAAAATACGATGAGTAAGTGTGAATACATTTCCTCACTCTGGTTTTTGGGATCTACAATGGTCTGATGATTATTTTCAATCGATTTGATCTTCTGATTATTTGATCTATTAATTAAGTGTAGGGAAAAATGTCCATCCCAGTTTCCCAGATCAAAAACAAGCTCATCTTTAGGTTGGAGAATCTGAGAGTGTTTGACATTGTTGCTCAAAACGTGATTTAAACAATTAATCAGTCAACAAAATAGTTGCGATTAATATAATGTAGATCAACTAAGCAATGATTCCACTAATCCTTTAAGCTCTAAACTCATCACATTTGGTTGTAAATTAATTAATCCGGAATTGGATGGTAGTCAGGGGCGATTCTGGCTAAGTGGATAGCAGGGCCGTCTTTCAACCAGAGGGTCGGCGGTTCGAACCCCGGCTCCGCTAGTCGCACGTCGATGTGTCTTTGAGCAAGACAAAATTGCTCCCGTAGCTGTGCCTACGGTGTACAAATGTGATAGACTCTGAATTGTAAGTTGCTTTGGATAAAAGCATCTGCTATGTAATGTAGTTGTTAAAGAATACGCAAGAAAATGAATAAAAAAGACAAAAAAGAAAAGTATCATAACAGGTTGATTTATATTCAACACATGTCACACTGCTGATAAACTCTGAGTCTGCAAGCATCCAGATTGTACATGTAAACTTAATTTATTATGCAGCAGCTCACATCATGAGACTAATATAGGAAGCAAGAAATAAAAAAAAGTTCAATTTAAAGTAGTTTTGCATAATTTGCTCTTTTTTTTTTTAACTGCACGTTACATTTTTGTCTATTTAAAAATCGCAACACTGTCCATGTTACAAGAACATGGACAGCTCTGATTTTCCCTCGTGGAAATATTTGGCAATAAAAAATGTTACTGAAAACACTTTTCACTCCACTTGCATAATATCTCTGGATTGTGAGACCGGATCAAAAATACCTGATCACTTCTGGGCGTTTATACAGTTACTGATACTCGAGTTTAGATCAAAAGTTCTTATCTCTGGTGTTTAACAGAATGAGTCCAAACGTCCACTCAGCGGGGTATTCGTGATGAGAAAGTAAACAAAAAGACAAAGACGGGATTATACGAGGCTGTGACTAAACAGACGGACCGATTTACTCCCCAGTCACATAAAACGCTCAACAAAAGACGTGTCAAAGGAAGACTGGCAATAACAGTGAAAGAGTGTCCTACTTCTTACACTCAGCGATTAGTCAACAAGTCTCTTCAGTCATTCCTGTATAATGATCTGGATATTCTTGTTCAGGGGTGTGAACTACATTATGAAAAACATTTAATAACTTTTTAGTCTTTGCAAAAGTATTTATTTATTGAATGTCAGGTATTAGTATGTTTGTGTTTTTTCTTTTAATTCATAAAAAAAAAAAGTTCTCCACAGGAGAAATACAGTTTCCTCCTGTCGTCATCATCATCATCCATTAAGATTCCTGGTTCGTCATTGATACTTACTCTGTCCCTTGATTTTTTTTTTTCCATGTTCGTTATTTCGCTCCTTAGAACATTATTGTCCTTCTCTTAATTTTTTTTGGACTTCCTGTGAGTTGCTAAAGTTCAGTTTTGTCTTTTTTCTTCCCTTGTTTGTGTCCATCGCCGGCGGCACACCTGAATCCCAGGTTGTCAGAGGCAGAGTCGGGAGTGTTGCCCATCCTTTAGGACACAGAATCAGACCATCAGTCACTGTCATACTGATGCTCTGTGGACTTAAGAGTCTGAAAGTGTAGGGTCTCTTCTTTTGAAAGAACTCACCTGGTCGTGATTCGTGCTTTATGATTGGCTGAACCATCCACGGTGTCGATCCAGGAGCCCCCCCGCAGCGCGTACATTGGTTGTGCTGCTGGAAACGGTGTGGACGTCCATTCCCATGTGTTTCCCATCATGTCATACAGTCCTGCATGAGGAATCAACATTGCTCTTATACTATTAGGAAGCACACCTATATAATATTACAAGGCCTGGACTCTCTTTGGTTTCAACATTTTCTGGAAACATATATTTCTGTCTATTGCTTTCAACTAAAGTCATCTCTGTTTCAAAGTAGCACTTTCAATCTCATATCATCTCATTAATGTTTTTCTTTCAACTTCAATACATGGAGAGTTACCATAACTGTTCTGAGAAGGAAACGCTGTGACAGGAGAGACCCCATGGTATCCATCCTCTGCAGTGTCTCCATCCGGAAATGATCCCTAAAACATAACGAAGATTATTAGTTATTGCATGGCATGCATTTTCACATTTCCACATGCTTTTTATGTGAAAGCGTGACAACATATCTATAATATCTGTTGGTTTTCACTGATTTAAAGAGTCAAATAGTACCAAACACAATATTTTGGTGCAAAGTTTTTTTTCTGAATGTATCTAAGTTAATACAAATGTGCTAATGCTACTGCAACATGCATTATTGTTGTAAGCTGACCTGCCACAGGTTGGTTCTGTTGCCCTGGAACTTGTTTCCCCACGGATAAGTCCGACCTGGAACACAAGAGGAAGGAGAGACTTAAGAGGAGAGCAAACAATTAAATATATAGTCTTTGACTGGTGAAGCGTGAATGTAAGTCAAAGCCCGGTTCTAGCTGTGTTCAATAAATGTTAGTCACGAGTAGAAAAAGTATCATAAAGGTGGTACATACAGTATTTCTTCTATGTCTTCAGTGTGTAAACTGTGTACCTTGCAGCCCCCCACGCGCAGCCCACTCCCACTCCTCCTCAGTAGGCAGTCTCTTGTCCTTCCACCGGCAGAAGGCCTGAGCATCGTTCCAGCTCACCTGAACCACTGGGAAGTTCAGGCACTCCCGAATGCCGGAACCGGGTCCTGCAGGCTGGACAGTAGAGGGTCAAAGGAGTGAAAGAAGGGCAATGAAGGCATGCTAGGAGACCATAGCAGAGATAGGGATTCACTCGTGACCTCACCTGTCTCCAAAACACTCGTTCTATGGGCAACCACCAAGGAGCTGACTGGATGGGAAATAAGAGCGAAAAGTTATTCACCAGACGGCCTTACAAATGGTAATTGCTGCACATAAATTCTGTCTAGAGAATTGCAATAGTGTACTTACAGTATGTGTCAGACGAATGTTTATTGTAATGTTTATAGAGCACCAACTACTGACTATGTTTTCCTTATCGACGGATCTATTCATCCTTTGAATAATATAGTAATTGCTTAGCCTTTAAAATGTTTTTAAAAATGGTGAATTGATATCAGACCAACAGTTATGTTCCGATTCATTTTTTTTCTAAATCAAAACTCAAAACCCCAGTACCTCAATTCTCTGAGTGACTTTGCTCTTCAGCTCTTCTGGCACAAAGTCTTGAAACACAAAGCTCCAACCAAACGTCTCAGCTTCAGTTTTGTACTTCTGCGCTCTCACAAAGTCTCTGTGGTGAATGAAGGCCAAGTGAATGGCTTTGTTATATCATTTTAATTCATTATCAAAAACACCCCAATGTCAGATGTCAAGTTTGATTACCTGAAATCAGCATTGGTGACAGGATATGTGTCTATTTCAAAGGGCTGCAGTTGAACCTCCTTGGTGGGAGCCTCTCCGTCTCTCCCATCAGCTGCACTGGTTCCCATTAACGTCTTTCCTCCCGGTATGTTCGACATCTCATCTGCTGCTGTTTGTTAGGAGGAAACTCGTCTCCATCATGTTGATATAATTCGTGTTTTTGTATGTTTAGAAATTAAAAAAGGTGATTTCTTACCCGCCACTGCCAGTAAAAACACCGCAGATACCAAGCAAACCGTTTTAACGTTCATTTTTGACGGGCTGGTTTTAACCAACGTTGATTTTACATTAAGCGTATTTAAATAGCTTTGTATTTAAATACAAGTTTAAGATTAAACTAGCTGCAAAAACTTATTATACTTCGATTAATGGTTACATTTCTCTGTCGGAGAGATTTCACCGTCGGCAACGGAAGTGTGTCCAACGATAAAAAGGTTCCGTGTAAAACAAAACGTTCCCGAATTATTTAAAACTCCCAACACACCAGGGTTCATTTATTTGTATGTACAAAAACGGAAACTATTCATGTTATCAATAATAAGCTCTAGTAAAGTTACGCAAAGAAATAAAACAAGTGTTTGTAGCATCCGAGATATTAAAGATCTACCACCATAGAAATATTACTACTAAAGCAACTCATTGAGCCTGAAAAACTAATCGCTCCCCTTGATAAATACATTTGTACATTCATTAAACTACTGTAGGTCCCGTTTGTTAAAAAGTGACGCTAAATAGGATCTAAAAAAAGTTATTTCAATGTTTTTTTTAAATTTTGTGTTTTTACTAAGACTCAAATAATTAATCATGCATAGATTTAGTTTCAACAAATGCCACCACTGAAGTTTTTACAGTTCAATTATGTGCATGTGTAACAGAAACGTTATAGTAGAGGTTTATATTGTACTCTTGTGAGAAGCACTTTAATGTAACAGGTGGAGATGAAGCTAAGTTCAATTGTCTTATATACAGTTGAATCTCTAACAGTGCATATTTTGCAATTGTAAGTTGTGTGTAAAATATATATTTGAAGTAAATATAGCTTGTATTATAGTGGGGTTAAAGTCCAAGTACCAAGAACTATAAAAAGGTACACTCCACCACTGTTACTGCTCTAATAGCTTAGTCTGGATGTGGTTTTTAACAAGTCTTACAAGCAAAAAAAAAAAAAAAAAGTATATTTTTGAGGTTGAGCACCGAGCTTCTGTCTCGCAAATCAGCAATTCTATTTTATGGATCCAATTACTATTCAAGAACAAACAAACAAATATTTCAAGAGCCAAAAAAATCTTTAATGGGTAGAAACAGAACTGAGGGGTAGAGGCCAGTGCGTTTAACAAAATCTCATAAATAAACCAATCAGAGGAGAGCATTGACAAATCCATGAAAAAACAAAAACCATGACGAGCATAACAATGGTTCTGACAGACGCTGCGATGGATGCCGTGGGGTTTACAGCTGGCCGTCCGTCAGACTGGGGTGCTTCAGGCTTCCTAGAGCAGGTCCACTTTGACTGAACTGTCAGGTAAACAACTGTCCCCGTGAATGTGATAACAGCTGCTGCTGCTTCTTCAGTTCACCTTTAACCCTTGAGAGAAGACATCCCAGCTCGCATGATCTCATCCACCAACAAGATGTTGCTGGCGATGACCGTGCTGTAGAGGAATAAAGAGCCACATAAGAGATTAATGGAGACAATGCACAAGGAGAATTTTAAATATTTAAAAAGGTCTTAGACCATTTAGAAATGTGTATTCTCACCATGAATGGAGAAGCTGTTTCTTTACACTGTAATTATCCCAAACGCCTGCTTCTCCTGCCACCATGGGTTCCCCTGAAGAACAACAGGATTCAATTCAAAACAAGCTTGTGATAAAAGTGCAACCAAACCAGGTTTTGGGGGTTAAGCATCCACTACAACTCAAACGGCAAAAATAAATCAAAGAAAACAGCGAGACTCAAAATACAAACGTACAGTCTCGGAGTGGAACAATCGATGGAAGTGTTTGCCTCATAGACTATGCTTTCTGATACTAAGATAGCGGTGAATCCTCTACTGAAAGCATGTTACTCTGCAGCTCTTCTGCTCTGTTTGTGGTATGTATCACAGTGAGCATGTACTTGATGTTCAGTGTGTTAAAAAGGCTCAAATTCGCTGCACTTTATTACACAGTTTGATCTCAATTAAACTGCGTTTAAAGAGACTTGAAAAGGAAAACACTTCAAAATTCGTTGCGTTAATAGTCTTATGTTACAGATTGCTGCTTTTGAAAATCAAAAACTGATATTGTGATGTATTGTGGAGGGCTTGATATCTATTGCGTGGCACAATCTTCTAATGACGGTGTGTTGTGGTTCTGACCTGTGCTGAGGTCCACTCCCACTAGCTGACCACTTTCTTTGTACTCCGTCTGCAGCTTCAGCAGGGTCTCCATTTGGTCGTAGCCAGAGTTCTGGGCCAGAACCTACCGAGGAAGATGCATAATTAAAATCAGAGGTTGGTACAGTATGAACGTAACGAACAATGAATCTTGTTTACCATTTTTTTCTGTCTAATATAACTTTGATAAGAGGACCAGAAATATTATAGGCAGCATTATGCAGAAGCAAGGGATTTCTACATCACATAGAGAAACACTGAAAGCCTGGAGATTAAGTAAAAACATTCACCTTGGGGATGACGAGAAGAGCATCTGCAAATGCTTGGACTCCCAACTGGGCTCTGCCTTTCACGTTGGGCTTGTGTTTCACCAGAGCGTCGGCCACAGCCACCTCGAACGCACCCGCACCGGACACAACACATCCTGAAGAGACGAAGAGGGGAAAAAGACGCTCAGAAAACGCACGTCAAATTGCCTTTGCTCAAAAAGGCAAGAACAATGCATTTGAAATGATGGGGGAGATTGTTCTGATCAGCTAATACATGTAGGAGAGACTGAAACGCTCCCAATGCAGAGGAAAAGACCAGAGTCACTGTAGCACAGACATGAAAGGCCAGGGAGAGCCATGCTAGCATCCCCGGGTGTTCGCTGTGCAAACAACACCAACTGCATTTCACAGGAACAGATAAACTGACCACAAGTTCAGGTGAAAATCAAGATAAGAAGAGAAATGACCTGAGCTAGAGTGTCCTAAAGGACCGTTTGGGGAACTTCATAAATGCTGATAATGAATTTGGTTAACATTTGGATAACAAATGCCTAAAGAGCTTTACAGTCACCTTTGACAGGAAAACAAAACCCACTGACGAGGGACAGAAGTAACTTTCAGAAAACAGCTTCTTTTCTTTTCAAAAACTGCAAGTGTAAAAAGGTTAAAACTTAACAGTGAATGTGTGATGAACCATAATATGTATTCAAGCAGATAAGAGGATCAACTCAAGACTATTGACAACCATCCATTTGATTTAAATTGGACATCAAAATCTGAGCTGCACCCTAGCGGCAAAACAGCATAACTGATCACTTTTGCTACAATAAATGATATTCCCATAAAACTAAGTCACATAACACAAACGCAGAGAAAATATTGTTAGGTTCCATAGTGTCTTACCATCTTCTATGGCGTTCTTGACTGCCCGTAAACCATCCCTCACGGCGTCTTTGATCTGTGTCAGGGTGTGTTTGTTGGGTCCCTTCACCAGCAGGGTAACTGAGCGAGGGTTCCCACACTTCTCGATGAACGTGAACTTCTCCTCTCCCTGCAAACATGGGAGGGGATTAACATCTGCCTCAACATCTTAAGGACCCCATTTTCCCACTTTATGCATCCAAGTGACTAATGCAGACTTATTTTGCTTATCTTTTGCTATTGTGTCATGTGACTCGTTACATAACAGTCTGCAGCTTTCTTGCTCATATGGGACCAATTTTAAAAATCAGGGAAATAGTGTCCAGGTTAAAAAAAAAATACTGAAGTTACATAAAACAAAGAATGCACGCAGAAAAAACACAAATACTCACCAGTGTGTGTTCAAAAATCAACCCAGCGTATCCCAAGCAATCAGGTGTGAGGTCATCAATTGAATTCATGGCAATGCCGCCGCAAGCGAGGGTGAGCCTGCCGAGGGAAAAACAAACTGTATGAATAACTCCGTTCTATGATTTATGAAGGAAAAACATCACGCAACTGTGGAAAGCACGTTAGTTTAACATTTCATTTATACTTAGATTTTCACAATTAAGGAACATTTGCTAAATGGGCCCAGCAGACTCGCCTAACATTCCAGACCTCTACAATTTCTAGTATCTCTCCGATAACAAACAAGATATAGAAGCTAATGACGGCTTGTACTGATGGTCCCACATCTGTGCTGCAGGGCACTCCCTTGTGGCTAAACAAAGTATGACTGCTAAAGAAGCAGGTGTGATGTGGTGGGATCATGGTGCGCTCTGAAAACAGCAGCAGTCTCAATAACAGGAAATTGCTGACAGAGTTGTAATCAAGTATAATAGCTCAGCTATAGCTACTTTACGGACCTCTTAAGTTTCTAGTAAGCTGGTGTTGAGTGATGTTATTTTACATGAATGTTTATTTTTATACATTATATATATATAATACCTCTTAGATCTTACATCTCGAACCCCATTTGCCTAACTTTTGATCTCGTCTTTCTTGTAAATATAGTAGATTTTAGTGTTAAACAGGTGCTAGCCCCCAAAAACAGAGCAACTAAAATCCATTGCACAGAAAGGCCACTTATATATTTGTAACAATTAAAATATTTTTCTCACCTCTCCATATTCCTCCTCTTTGCCCGGCGCAGGGCTACGATGCCCTCCTTGGCTAGGGTATCCAGGGAGAATGGGTCAATACCCTACACAACAGAAAGAAACATTACACTTCCAGTTGTCAAGAAATAATTCACTGTGTATTTATGTCAGTCTAAGCAATATTAAGTTTATTCTGATCTGCTGAATACATGTAGGGGAGGAAGGGACTCTCCTAATGCAGAGGTACAGATCAGAGTTACTATAGCACAGATACAAGAGACCAGGGGGAGCTACGATAGCATCCCCAGGTGTTCTCGGTGCACTTAGGATTGATTAGACATTTATTTTCACTGACGTGTTGCAAATCACAGAATACTAAGTGTCCATATAGAAAAACTAAGTCTTGAATCATTTGTGAATTGACCTGTAGTGTGGTGAACAATAGAGGTGTGGAAATTCCTCAGTTCCAAGATGCATCGCGATGCGGACGTGAACGATTTTGCATCGATTCAGTGAAGGAACATAATCTGGAGTTTGTTTTCATTTCAGCTCAGGGCAAATCTTTGCTGTGTTTTTCGGTCATTTATCGTGTCACGTTTGTTAGCTAAGCTTGCACACACTTTACAGACACCTGGGAGTCTGCAAGCTTGTGGCTCTCGCTACCAATATTAGCTGCTGTGATTCAAACATCACTCCCTTTCGGGAGATGTAGTTACTTAAACCAAGTAAGAGTAGAAGAGCTACGAGTAAGGAAAAGTTGAGCCGCAGTTAAAATGCCAATACTGCATGAATCCTCGTCGAGCATACCTTCTGGTTAATGACGACGAAGCCCTTCTCCCCGTTGGGACACACTTTCTTCTTGAAGCTGATGATCTTCTGCACGCGGTCTTCGATGAACTTCCTTTCCGCAGCCACGAGCTTCTCCCTCTCCTCAGCACTCTTGTAGAAGAAGCCAGAGTTGACCTCCGTCTTTTCATACTCCAAAGAGATGTTGCAGGTCAGCACGTAGGCGTCCTCCACCCTCTTCTTCATGTCTGGGTGTCGGGCACCGTGGTCCAAAACCAAACCTCTGATCAGCCTGAGAAAGAAAGAAACCCAACACTCTTTAGATGTTTGGGACCCCGATACACTCCTGCACCTCCATCGGTAAAGGGGTGAGAGAGCAGAGTCTTCAGATTTCTATTGAAACTCACTGTGTATCGCAGTCGGTCTTGTGCTTCATCTCCATAATTTCCACCATGTACAGGTCAATGGGCTCATTGGGTTTAGTGATGGCCAGCACAGCATCTACTACAGCCTGCACACAAACAATTTTGTCATTATTTGAGTTTACAGCCAAAAGGATAAACTTGTCTACCAAGAATATCAATAACGAAGAAAACAATAATTTTTGGTGCATTTTTTGCACAGTCCCTCATGTCTCACCTCAGTGAGCAGGTCTGCCAGCTCTGCGTAGACCTTGGTTCTGAGGGAGGTGCGTGCTACGTTGATGAGGGTCTCTCTGTCCATTTCCCGAGTCACCTTCAATTCCTCCAGAACAGCCAAAGCTTTCTCTTTCGCCGCCTCAAAGCCCTCAACAACGATTCTGGGATGAAGACCCTGCAGCACGAAACCAAAAGGGAGTTATGGAAGGAAAACATATCCAGGCCTGTGACTGTAGAGCTTTAAAATGACACGCCTTTCTCAAGAAATAATTCACTGTGTATTTGTGTCAGTTTAAGCAATATTAAGTTTATTCTGATCCGCTGAATACATGTAGGGGAGGAAGGGACTCTCCTAATGCAGAGGTACAGATCAGAGTTACTGTAGCACAGATACAAGAGATCAGGGGGAGCTACGCTAGCATCCCTGAGTGTTCTCTGTGCACAAAATCAACGGGCATTATGGAAGGAAAATATAGCAAGCTCCAAATACTGGACATTAAAATGCATTCTGAAGAGACTCATGGGCCACTTTGGGCAAAAAAAACATTTACTTTCTTGTTGGATAACCAGACAGGCCTGCGACTGTGGAGCTGTAAAACGACACGCCTTTCTCTTCATTTTTCAAGAAATGGTTCACTGTGTATTTATGTCAGTTTACCTCCGACACGTAGAGGTCCGCCTGCTTCAGCAGTTCACCGATGATGAGGACATTCGATGTGGTGCCGTCTCCCGTTATGTCATCCTGCGCCGTGGCAACCTTCGCGATGAGGGATGCTGTCGGGTGCTGAATTTGCTGCGTGATGAAAAATAGAATAGAAAGTTCTCAAGGCTGCAACTAACAATGACTTTCATAACTGATTGCTGACAACCACATTTTCACAGAGTGTTAGACATTTGTAGACTTAGTATTTACTTTATATTTCATCAATAGGCATAAATTAGTTATGTGCCCCAATTAGGTAACATTCTACTTTTAATGACTTATTCATCTACTCAAATATAAACATGCTCTACAAAAACTCTACATTTAAAAAAAAAAAAAAAAGACAAATCCCTCAAATAATGAATGTTCTCCAATGACTTACGTTGTTTAATTCTTACACAGACAAAAAAATGGGATTTTCAGTGTCTAAATAAATGGATCCCACATAAATTAGGGGTGTGGTCGCTCCAACTGTAAAGTATGAAGCACAATAAATGGTCACCACAGAAGAAGTCAGTTTACAGATCACTTCCTTACCATCTCGTGCAACAAGACGTTTCCATCTTTGGTCAGCTTAATGTCTCCTGCACCAGACACCAGCCTGCGGATCCAAACAGAGAAGCTTTAATGAAAGCTGGTTCACTACAACACACGGCCCGCTGGTCAACAGTTTGCCAATACAAGTTTTAATTCAGACATAACCACGTCCAGGGTCCGTTTACCAAGTTAACGAACAAAGATGCAGTAGCCGTTATCTGGTGTTATCTGACTAAACTTTGTGAAACAGCGTTAATCCTTAACAATTAACGTAACGGAATTACTAGTGCTCGAGTCATTCATTCGCTCATTAATCCAAATAATGTAGTAAACGGTAAAGCTACGGTAACAGACACTTTATATTTTCCCGTTATCGTAATCAGATAACGGATTAATACAAACATGCTAACGTTAGCTCGGTGGTTGTCAAAACGCATCCTGGCGATGACTGCGCACGACAACGTGCGCTGGGGAACTACGCCAGTGGAGGCCTAAACTGGCTAAAATTGTGATTTAATACTTTGTGGCGCAGGAGGACAAATTTATACACGAGGGTTGATTTCCAATTTCCAGAAGAAATCCCTGATAAATGTGCAGAATAACTATAGTGGTAACGTTACGTACGCAGACAGCCACACGTTGCCGGTGAATCGCAGCTAACGCTACTTAGCAGTGTTAGCTTAGCACGCGTGCTGCACAAAGGGCTGCGGAGCACTCACATTTTCATGGTCCCCTTCGGTCCCAGGTTACTTTTCAGCACATCCTGGAGCCCCCGGGCGGCACTGATGTTAACCGCCAGGGCGGCCTGGGCCCGGGCCACCTCTGCTTTAGGGTTCAGAGATTTTATGGCAGACATGGTGAAGCAGCTCAACCAGCGAAATAAAAGTAAAAAGTAACGCTGGTGGAGAGTCCGCACTGTTAGGGCTCAGACGCTCTCGAAAGGAGGGTCGGTTTCTAGAAGGCTCCAACACGTGTTCTCGTGATGCGTTTACGTAACCAGTCCAAGCTCGGACAATACGCTTTTTAAGAAAGCTTCAAACTCCCCGTTTACAACATCAATCCTGATTACAAGTAATTGTGCAAATGATCAGGGTGACACATATATATGGCAGTTCGTTTCCTTAATCGCAATGACTGGTAGATAAAGGTCTGAATATTAAACCAAACTCCTGCAACTGATGCCTATAAGTTGCTGTTTTTAAAAGTTATGGAAACGCGTGCAAATTTCTCAAAGCTTTTTTGATTACTTTTGATATTTTTGGGAAGAATATTCTGCACACCATATGTTTGCAGATAAATCCAAACTATAACTAATATTGCAATGATCACAATGATGCAATGTATTTTTGCTATGATCACAACTTCGTCGAAGCCATACATTGTTATGGTTTGGTGATTATAAATTTCCGACATACACTGAAGGCAGCATAAGTCACACCCTGACGACGCGCTGACTACATCACCTTTGCTGATATGTAGTCTATATGTAGTCTGTATGTAATACAGTCATTTCAAACGACAGCCTACATGAAGAAAAGGAGTCCAAGACTTTTTATTCCATTGTTATCAGACGTTTAATTCAATATGTACAACTAATCTTATTAAAGCACTGCAATTCGCATTTACCACATTGGGATACTCCTCTCCACTTGTCATCAGATAGTTTAGAGTACCCCACCTCATTAACAGATACAGAGTTAACCGTATCTCTGGGTTGATCAATAAACGCACTATGTATATCTACAATCTGACCATTTTAATAAAAACAATCTCAGTTAGAGCACACAATAACCCGGTTGGCATTAATGTCTTGACAGAGGGATGAGTCAAACCAGTCAGTGTACAGCAGTTTGTAGTTACAGATTAGTTCTGAAATCAAACATTGTCTAATCATTTGAATCATATTGTCCCCAGCTGGAAGAGCCAGCATGATGTTAAATTAAAATGACACCTTTGGCAGATTCACCACAACTTCACCGCAAGAACTGGACATTGTTGTCACGTATCCGGCCGGTATGAAAAGACTGAACTACATCAAAGTCTGGCTTACTGTTCTGACTAGCCTGACACTTGTGGTGTGTTAGTGGACTTTAATTTCTGTGTGTCTTCAAACAACTGGTACACGCCATAATCAGTTGGCTGGAACAAAGCCATGTAAACATAAAGTCACATCTTCTTGATGGATATACCTGGTGAAATGTTACTGAATGTAAAGCCAGAGTCTGACTGTGGCCCTACAATACAGGCTTCCATCTCTGACCATCAGCTTCATCTGTGATTTCAGAACACTGATTTATAATCAGCATGCTCCTCTTTGTTAAACTGACCATCACCTGTGACATGTAAAGAAGCTTATCCAGTTCATATTGATAGCGAACTGTGAGCTCTGGAGGCAGTGTGTTTGTTGTGAGATACTGGAAGCAGTAACTTTTGTTTGATTCGTTATCAATGCTAGTGCAACAGAGTGATGTTTCTAAAAGACCTTCAGACATTTTGAGCACCTGTGACCAGCACTAGAACTGCTAAATGTTTGATCTGTTCCTGGTATCACATTCACACACACTGATGTTTTCAAATCATCAAAAAATAAGAAGACAAGCCTCTTAAAATCAGACCTTTTAAAAAGATAGAGACAGAGAGTGAAGAGGAGGGGGCATGTGAAATAATATGTCGTCTCCACAAAGCGCATTAATGGATCAGTAACTGCTGTAACAGATCTGGTTTTTGGTGACAACCGTTTTTAACCTCATCATCTGAAATAAGACATTCTAGGTCCACAAAGAAAAGGGGAGTGGAGAAACAAACAAGAAGAGGAAAACAAAAACTGAAACAACACGTTGATGTTATGCAGATTTCCCCGGCAGTGCACCAACTGATGGCTGGTTACACTCTCCACAGATCAGTGGCTGCTGAGAGGTTCCTCCGGTGTTTGTGGTTACTTCAGGGGCGAGTTCTTCAGGGGAATCATGATTCTAGATTCCATGTGCTGAATAAGAGGGACTGTCGAACGAAGAAGAGACAAAAACGGTCTTACAAACAGATTTCTGTGTCATGCAGTAATGTAAAACAAAACAATAATATATATATATATAATATATTTCTTATCATAATTTATATCTATAAATAACAGATACAAGAATACATGTAAAAACAATTCAAACTGAGAAAATGGGTGAACTAATAAAAATGTAACAAAAAAATGTTTTTTTGTTTTCTGTATTATTTTGATTTTCTGTTTGTTTGTTGACGTTTGCCTCTGTGGGTTTTATGCGTTTGAAAATGTTGAAAATATCAATAAAAACTAAAAACTGTACACAATGAATTGTGTGTAGGATACAAACTCCAGTAATATATTTTGTTAGTTAGCTTGAAATCATTAATTTGGACAACAAGCATTTAGAGAAATGACGTTAGCATCATATCCTCATTATGACACAGTCCTGTCACTGTCCAGTGCTATCAGAAAGGTAAAGAGAGGTGAAATAAGACATCAAACAGAGACCTACCTGTGTAATAAACAACCTCATCCCAGCCATCATGCTGCCAGGCAGAATTTCTTGTGTCTTCTCTGGACTGAAGGTCTTTGTACGCTGAAAACAAAGAAAATAATAATAATGCTGGTTTTATAGTCTTTACTCAAAAGTCACATAAAAAAAAAAAAAACATACATTATCAACTCTTAGAAAAGTGCGGAATTCTGAAACCTTTGCGTTAAATTATATTGATCAAATTCATGACCTAAAACATACGTAATATTGATTATATATTTCCTGAATAGTAACACAGGCACTTCGAGGGGACATCAGAAATGCACCTCGTAACTGCTACGTAAATCATAAACTCATTTTTCTGCAATCATTTGCGATACAGTGATGCCTTTATAAATGTATAATCCCACATAAACTTGGAACTTAAAAACTATGAAACACTGCTCACCCCATAAGTGGTGAACCGTGTACAGACTTCCAATCTGTGAGAAAAAGCCTCCCACTGCCTCGTGGTTCTGCTGGCGAAACTCAATGGCACGCGCCCTGCAGAGCACAGACATGTTACGTTACATTCAAAAAAACACTAACAGCTTGTAATTCAACGGTGGTGTCGATTAAAACACCAGAGCGAATTTGTAACGTTTTAAAGTACAAATGAAACCGACATTCACAGATATCCCAATCATTTTCTTTTAAATGTTGATGTTACGACCTCAGAATTGTAATAAAAGCATGTTTGGCTTCATTACATTAACAGGCAAATTTCCCAGTCATCATTATCAAACTATTCAGATACGAACATATATGAAATACAGGGTAAATAGGTAAATTATGCTTGAGAATTACAAATACTTTTTCTGAAATATCTTTCGTCATGCTTTGGAGTCATGCATAGATTGTGTAGCCAAAAAGTACCGTTGACCGATATTCATCTGCTACAATCTGCAAAACCAATAAAGCAGTAGTGAGGAAAGGTACATCATAATGGTAGCTCTACTGTTGCAGCATCATGGAGAGAAAGCTGAGGAGCTTTTCAGAGTAACTATCTAAATTAATCTAATTTCATGACTTTCTGATACTACATGTAAAAGAAGAAAAGGAGAAAGATTAAGAAAGTTATGCCTCACCAGTAATTTCCCCACTCGATCATCGTCCCTGGCTGAAATAAGAATGTGAAGAGTGGAAAGTAAGTTGTCAAACGTTACATACACACATACACGTTACTGAAAAACACATTCATGTATAACGGGAGGAAGCATGAATATCTTCTGTGGCGTTACCCTGAGTTGGTATGATCGGAGCTCGTAGATGTTGGGTCCTGGACGAGGGACCGGTTCGTTCCAGAAACTGAACTCCAGCAGCAGCTGGTTCCTACGAGACAGCAGCATCTTCCCCCTCTCGTTCCTGTAGCGCGTAAACTCCTACAGACAACGACAGACAACAGCAACACACTGTGAATCTGCCTCAGACCACCAACTCTTAAAGACACCTGTAACATCCAGTACAAACACACAACTGTATTCTTGTATTATCTAAAGAAATTATTTACTTGTTTCATTCTGAACAACGTTATATTCTTCTTCGTTCACCAGCTGCCAGTAAACTGAACTAATCCGAGCACCCGTTACCTCGTTCTGCCGGAGTTTGCTCATGACCTCGGTGAGAGCCGGGTATCCTCCCCGATATCTCCACAGGTGAACTACAATAGAAGGAGCAGAGGAGCCAAAAATAATGCAGCTCTTGAATACATCTCAGTGTGTCGATATTTTCTCTGGGCAAGATATATGTATGTTTTACATTAAGAACTGTAGTTTTTAATTATTTCTCACTTGACCACCTGTGATCTGAGCTGGCATGAAGAGATCGAGAGAAACAACTATGAATCTCTAGTTCATTTCTATGAGAAAACACACTCTTTACATAATAATATTCTGAGTCCAGTGATCAAGATGAAAAATAGACTGAACTGAATAAAGAAATCACTTATTAATACTGCAACTTTACAGGAAGCATAGTACTGAATATCATTTCCTAGTGCACACGTTGTGAACATATTTTATTAATATAAAAATGTAATATAAAAATGTCAGAACATATTGTTTATCAGTTTGCCTGAGCCCAAAGTTACACCACCATGCTTGTGTTGTCCAACCATCACTCAAAAGCACAGAAATATTGAATACAACATAACAGAATAGAAAGAAGCAACAAATCCTCACATTTAAGAAGCTGGTTAAATGACTTTGTCAGTTTTCTTTATGGTAACCATCACACCTGGAGCTTGATGCTGCTCTCACCTGCCTGATCCTGCTCTCCGTACCACGTGTTCCAGGTACCCACAAGCTCACAGGGGTATTCAGGATCAGCATGAATGGAAGGCAAGACGTCCTCACTACGGACACACACACACAAACACAAATGTGTAAAAAATCTGCACCAGTTCCTCAACAAGAATCTGAATGAAGTCAGTTCAGGGACAGGGACTTCCTACCAAAGTTCATTGTAAGCCTCAAGGCACTCAGGCTTGACATTGTGAACTGCAAGGAAACAACAAAACATGAGTGGATAGTACACCATCTAACAGATTTCATAAGATTATTCTAGGGGGAAATCATTTTTAAATCAATAAAACACATGCAGTCAGGGAAATGATTTCCGACCAGTCACAGCAAGTCACAAACAATACATACATTGTATTTTGTACAGATTGTTGTCTTCCTTCTTGGCGAGCAGATGAGCGTGAGCGTCTTTTCGGGGGTCGACCTTTCTAACAAACAGAGACTTGAACCAGCTGTCTTCACGTTGAGCTGAGAGGCTCCTGGGGTAAAACAAAAACACACAAAAGTTGGATTCGGCACCACCACTTCTTCTGTCAGACAATGAAGAAAATAAGTCATGAAAAACAACAGAAAACTGCTTGTACTCTCTACTACAAAGTCTCTAAAGCCCTTAATGGGTTTAAACGTCTGGCCTGCTCACACACTGCTGTCCAGTCAGACTCCTCAGGTCACATAGAGTTTACTTGTGATGAAACGTGCAGTATAAATAAAACTGCGTCGTGCAAGGATGCATTGTATGCGCATCAGTGACGTCTGCAGCAAACTTAGAACTTACTACAATTATCTTGAAACTATCCAACTCATTCATTGCAAAAAAAAAACAACCTCCAGCTCAGTGGCCAGCAAACGATACGGATATGCGCTGTACATACTGCACATAACCAGAGGATTAGTCTACATGGACCCTTAAGAGCCCTCCCACATGAGTAGTGTTTAATTACAGACACAACTATTACTTTACACTGCGCATTCGTTATATATGATGTATTATATTAGTATATCATCGTTGTTTACATGTTTACACAGCTTGGTTTAGGACACACACCTGTCGCAGCCAGAACATGAGAAACTAGGTCACTGACTTATCAAAACAAGTAAACGCTGTACAAGCGATTCATCGCATTCTGACCTTGAAGTTTGGGACTGACAGAAAGTTGTGATTTTATAGTATGTATACTAGTGGCAACTATACATCTACGCATACAACTACGAAGTGCGCAGGGATAAGTGCTAACACAAGTTGGCTCACAACTTTGTTAAGTCGCAGGGTAATAATTAGCATTAGCAAAGAGTTAGCAAGTTTAGAGCCAGAGGGCTAATGCTATCTACGTTACACGGTGATCTGAACGTAACGTTAGCCAGCGTCCTTACGTTAGCGTTAGCTTAGCCACCTAGCCTACCTGACTTTGTCATTGGTGTCAACTCTACGGAAGATAAAACACATTGTAAAGTAGCATTTATACAGCTGCACCAGCAAAATATCAACTGAAAAAGTCTAACCTTACGACCACCGTGACCTGTCCGTTCTTCTGAAGCCCATTTCTCGTCTGAGTAAGGCCTTTGCCCACTCTCTGAAGGACTCGGGTCGCCATCTTTCCCTTGAAAGCTGTCAGTTGGAGGTTGTTTTGACACGGCTGGTCCCGGTGGACCTGACGTTACTTAACGTTACTTCAACGTAACCCCGTGATAACTTCATGTACCAGGTTTTAAGTCTTTTAACAATCGGACATAAACATAGCTCTGTAGTTGATTTCTATTTTCACCTCGAATTCTACTTTCACCACTTACAAAATAAAATACCTTTTCAATCAGGTGTATCATGGTGCGCATTTATACAGTATTAAAATGTATGAAAGAGAACATAAATTAGAGAAGATTTACTGAAGACGTTATTAATAGCAATGCCAGATAAAGAATGCCCTAGTGACTGAACATTTTTATAATGCGTATGTGTATGATCCTATTTGGAACAGGATAAGTGGCAATATTTTATTTGATTGTATTGTCTTTAAAAGACATTTGGTCTGACAGTAAATGGATATGAACACCATGCATACATGTTTGTGGATGAAACCATGCATCTATGTCATTTTATTGTAAATTCATCAGAAATGTGACTTGAATTCAAAACTACCGTAGCAGGAAACAACTAACATTTATTTTCCACATTAACTGATGTATATGGATGACTGGTTTATAAATGTATATTTACATGAACACCTGAAACAAACATAAGTGCAGAGTGATATTTCAGCTAACCTTACTGCACAAAAAAAAATGCAGTTTTCTATCATGAATTGGGAGCTTGTGCTGGCGGAGAATCAGCCTCACTGGAGGCGGCAGAGATGTTGAGCTCCTGCAGTTTTTCTGATAACGTTGTGTCCTCTCTCAGGCCGAGTGGAAGGTCAGTCAGAGGCTCCACAAACTCGGTTCCTTCAACCCTCTTTCCCGTCAGTGGGTCGACCACCCGGCCAACTTTATAGACCATCTCAGACAGTTCATGCTTCACATGTTTGGACCTGGGCTCAGGCAGAGCCTTGAGAAGGACGATATCTCCCACAGTGCACTGTCGCAAAGCATCATGGGCAAAGTAGGTCTTCCTCTTATTGTAGTACTATTGGGAAGAAAAGACAACATTAGACTTAAGTACATAGTCATTGTACATCAATCAATAATCTCTAAAATTATTAATATATTACTAGAGGAAGCTAAAAACATCCCCTCACAAACAGGAGTCAAAAGTGTTCTCTTACTGCCAAACATATATTCATTCCATTCCCCAATACTACTTTAATTCTTTTGCAAAAGTAATTGTGCAGCTGCCTGTATTACATTAACATTGTACACTGATGCACAGGTTAGTTTGTCATGTTTTACTGAAGGAGAAAAATACTTTTGTTGAAACGTATCTCCATTTTTCAAACTACAGCACAGAAAAAAATAGTTTGAGCATCCGTACAAAACTCAGGTATCACAATCGCACCAGAATCCTAAAACAGTTCAAAGTCTTGCTGTGGGCAATTTATGAGTTTTAAATGTGGCAGAGTAAAATAAATGATAAGAGATATAACCAGATTGATGTTATTTTTGGGGTATTCCGTGGAAAGTAGGCTGTGTATCCTCCACCTGTCCTTCATGTACGCATCAGCAGTGGATGAACATTGTTAAAAGGTTCACCTTGAGCAGGTATGGGTCCAGCACCAGCCTTGTGACTCTCACTTTGGCAGTTTTGTACATCTTGGTCCCTATTACTCTGCCGATGATCCATTTTGCATGGACTGACACATGCTTGACCGACATCCTGGAAAGCTGAATTCCAACCTGTAGTAAAGAAGATCAAGAAAAGTTGACATTTGCCTCGAGCCACTATCTGACACATGATGATCAGCTGAAGGCTCAATTCCTCTCTTGTTACCAACATGTCATGATATCATGTATAACTGGCTTCCATCACGCTTTATTTATTGCGATTTCATTGACTCAGCATTGAAAGGTAACAGTCATACATTTAGCATAGCTCCAATTTGTGCAAACCTTAACATTTGGTTATATTTTGCATTAGTAATTACTTTGCCTTTACAAATTCAGATTTAAAAGGGAGGATGAAGTGAAGAAAAACAGTGGCTAACGTTGCATGACATGTGAACACAAACAGGGGCTACATATAGCTAGCCTTGCTGGAGCTAACGTTAGCTTTAACGTAAGAAAAAATTAAATGCAGGAATTACAAACTTCACCGACTTTGACATTATCACAGATGTACCTTAAAGGTAGCATGTAAAGAATCAACTCACCGAAACTATAAGAAAGGAATAATTTTAGAAGGTCAAAAAAGCTTCAGTGAGGGTTCCTCCATGCTGCTCAGGTCGGCTTGTTTTGATGACGTAATCTACGGCTAGCAGCCAGGGACAGAGGCCCTCGTTCGCTTTTTGGGTTGGATTGGACCTAAACTTCAAAATTTAAAGAAAACCACAAGATAATTCCTTTGTTTACGTATTTTGATATTTTCTATATCATACTCCAGTTTATTTTCACTTCATTCTAGTCAGTTTGTAAGTAAGTAAGTTGTTATGTGTTTATTGATTGCTGTTGTGCTCTACTCATTTAATTTGTGTTATTTAAATAAACCATAGGTATCATGGGATACAGAATACAGTATATATTATGTTCTATATTATCCTGTTTTGTTTATAGAGATAAAAATTTTTTCCTGTAGGCTAGAGAAATAATGACAAATGGTATGTGACCCGTGGAATTGGAGCTGGACTATATACTTAGGCATGTAAATATAATGGGATGTATGGATGTGAAAAAGTCTGTCTTTTAGCAAGAAAACAAAAGTTTTGTTTCCTCAAGTTGCTTTCGTCTTTTTAATGAAATTTTCTCTTTGGCCATGAGATGGTAGCAAACATCCCTTCTTAACATGGAGGGAAACTCAAAGCACTGAAAGAAGAAAGAGATACTGTAATGTTCCTAGTTAAGAAATTGAGTGGCAAAAACTAGAAGGTAAGACTTAAGACTAATAATCAAAACATTTATTAGCGCAGCAGGAAAGGTGTGATGGATTCTTATTAGGATAGCCTACTGAGCGGCAGATGGTTCTCCTCAAACCACCTGATGACACAAAGTTTAACTGATGTAACCAGGACTGCAGATGAGACGGGAGGGGCTTTGAAAACATGTCATCCTCAAAGAGAAAGGAGGTGACGATCAACAACACGGCATCAAAACTCATTATGAAAAATGAAAGTATATGTGAGAAAAATAAGTTTGTAGCACGCACGTTTATGTCGACCCTGGTTGCAATATTGTTTTTCAGTTGTGTTATCTCAAGATGATGAATAAATTGTCTTGCTATCTCTTGATAACCAAGCTGTTTTCCCAAGATACAAGTATTTTGTTATCTCGAGGTAACAAAATACTGTTGAAAAATTGCTGTGGGTGTGCTAACACAGCATCTGATTTGATCTGAGAATATCAGATACAGGAGACCACGTTATTTATCCATCAGGTCATAAACCACAGTATTGAAACCAACTGGCGTTAGATGAAAGGTCAGGGGATCAGTAAGATGTATCCTTTGGGGACCATGAATGTATGTACAGAATGTCATGGTAATCCATCCAATACTTAGATATTTCAGTGTGGATTTAAGTGGTGGGCCGACTGAAATTGCCATCCCTAAAGCCAAAAGTATCAGTAGGATGGCTGAAATACATTTCCTTGTAAGTCTTTTCCTTGAATGCTCAAGGCCGATTTTAATTAAATTATAAAATGATCATGTTATCTTGAGATAATGTGCATAACAAGATAGTTATCTTGGAAAAAAATACAGTTCGTTTTCTTAACCAATCATCATGAGAGAACCTCTCCTGATCTTGAGATAATGGGCTAGAGAGAAAAAGTGCATCCTTCAACATCTGTATGGTGGAATGCTTGTGTCTTTGTGTGACTTAGAGATACGCACAAGATTTCCAATGTAACTTTACGGTCCTGTTCCTGTGCAAATGGCAAGAAATCTAATCTGAATCTGAATTCTTTTATATTGATTTCTTTATGTTATTCTGTAAAAGGACCACAAATTTACCAATTCCCTAACCAGCCATTTGGCAATGACATGAGCTCTTCTGGATCTCCACTAAAGCAGATATAAGTGGCTGGAATGGGGGAGAGATCAACATTGATGCATTCATACCACAACATTAACAGTCTTGTCCCTGAGTAGTGCTTGGCTGTGGTTCAGAACCAACCAAAGGCAGACCGATCTGGTCTTAATCAGAGCCATGTTGTAGTAAAGCACAGGTCTGGGTCTCTGTTTCCCATTTAAGGCAGTGCAGCATTGATATACCTCTGCCAGAATTACAGCATTAGCCCACTTTAGTCTCCTTCATACAAGAACACTGAGACAATGTTCCCCGTTAAAACTGTTGTCTGACAAATAACGCAAGACTAAGCTGATGTTGAGCAGGATTACACAAAATACAGATTATGTGTACATTGCATGTGACCATCATACTAAATATATTCATGGGACTATAGAACAGAAAGTCTGTTTCATTGCACCCTTGTGAAAAAAGCACAGAAGCAGCACCGATATGGTCTACCTCGAATCAAATCTGTGGGTAAGTGCAGATCACACGGTATCAATGGCCATTTTACAATATTTACCAAAGATAATCGCATACATACCTAATTGCAAATGCAGCCAATGTTTTCATACATAAGAGAGCCGACACGGTCGGTTATCAGCTCTGAATCATGTGAAACCACGGCTCCCGTGACATAAAACAGAGGACTGCAAGCACATAGACTGTGTGATTACTCATGTATGTTTTCTATGATAACATAGTGACCTCTTGAGTTCTATATTTTCAGGCTTGATTAACATGCCAGAATAGTGTTGGCCTACATCCCCTTGTGTAAATTATTAATCTCCAGATATGATGTTTTTCAATAGATTAGACTGTTTCACTAGTGTTTGTGTATGACTTTAACCGAGTCCATCACTGAATTAAAATGAGCCCATGGGAGCTGTGCATGGGGTCGTTTGTAAGCTGGGAAAAGTTTAGCAATCGTTTTTTGGAAATACAGGAAAGATTTGGTAATGAGAGAAAGATTTGTTATTTTCTCCACCGAAGGTATAGATATGGGACTTTTTTTTCTTGAAATGCGTTCACCGAACAGGACACGTTATGGTCAATGTAAGGGCCGTGTTTTGGGAATCATATGATGTGTGCTTTGACCACCCTGAAAGCAAAGACCTGTACCGACTAAGGCAGGTTTTAAAAGCCTGCCACCACAACCACCTCATGGCTGCATCCAACTGCCTCCCTGATCTCTCTCTCTGTGTTTTGCGTATCTTTATAGTCTCAACACTCGAATCGTACAACCGGGGACACTTTCGGTCAGTCTCTCCTGATGGCATTCATTGTGTTGCACTTGTTTGTACACAAAAAGTTTGAAGAATGACAAAAGAGAGCTTGAGAGAGAAGTTTGAACCTCGTCTACTGCACACCTTGCAATTCGCTGA